ATATTGTGTATTTGCCGTAGATGAGGTAAAACCTTCGAAAAAATACCAGGGAGATAAAGATGCACCAGCATGACCTTTTCGTATCATGATGGCAGGGGCTAGCAATTCAGGTAAGACCAATATGAATTTAAGCTTGCTAACAATGCCCAAATTTTATCACATGTTTAAGAAGAAAAAGCATTCTAAGATAGGGAATGCAATGTTAAATACGATGATATATTTCTTTTCGGACATCATTTAAATGTGCCAAATATAAAATAGTTCAAGATTTTTATAAATATCTTGCCCAGGACAAATCAAAGCCCTATTATAAAGATGTCACATTTTCTACACTATCTCCTGATAAAATCCCAGATACTAAAAAGTTTAATGCTAAAAGAAGTACATTAGCGATATTTGAAGATCTTTACTCTGACTCTCCAGCTATACAGAAAAAAATTATTCCATTTTTTACTCGAGGTCATCATGAGAATATTTCCTCAATTTATGTTGCTCAAAAATTCTACAAAATTCCAATAGATATTCGTGAAAATGCTACTCATATTGTTCTTTTTAATGGTGGGGGCTCTATTCGAAAACTTGCAGATATTATAAGTCCTTACACTGATGTAGATCCGCGAAAAGCTTCAAAAATTATTGATGGTTATTTGAGGCAAAAAGAGTTTATAGTTATAGATCTGAATAAACCCAGATCTAAGTCTTTCTTACTTCAATAGGACACCTCTCTTGATCTAGAAAAGGAGATCGAGGGATTAAAAGATAATAAACATTCTGCCAAACCAGAGCGATATTTCAGAAGATATAATACTTTAAAATCGGATAAAATAAGGCATAACAATCAAATAATTATTTTTTCAGTTATTTATTAATTCAACAATATAAGTACATCCTACTCGCCACTTCTATTAAGAAGCTGTCCGTATCCAGCCGTGATTGGAATTAGGGTAGATGATTTTAACATCTTATTTGCTACTATTTTCTAATGAAATAGCTATCAGTATCCAGCCTAATTGAGGTTGAAGTAGATGTTAAAAAATAAATAAATTCTATTTGTATCGAGAGAAATTTTTGTGCCATGTAAAATGACTGTATATAAAAATCAAAGTAAAAAATAGTACTAGCTTTTCTTTAGGAAAGATAACAAAATAAAATTTATTTTCAATAGATATATATGAATATATAGATATGTGTATTGCGAAGCTATAGATTGATAATTTGATGTATTTCTCTATGAACTATCTATAATAATTTATTTATTTCTAATAATGGCGGGTATTTATTATCAATATATAATTTAGGATTTTGTATCCACTTTAATATTACATACTATTGCTTACTATTGATTACTCTGTATCCTTGTTGTCCTAATAAATTTAAAACGTGGTATATAATCTTTTTTGTAATTGATATTTCTTAGCATCTGCCCAACTTTTAGGACTATAATGATAAAACATTTTAGGTAAATTTCGAGCATATGCTGGTACATCTTTAGCTAGAATCGTTCTTCCACCATATCCAACATAAGAAGTTTTAGAAAGTCTTATTTTTCAAGGAGTTATAACTAAAAACTTCTTGTTCTCAGAAGTATTGTCATTTCTGACTGCTTCCCAGATTCTATTGGATTCTGATTTAGGCTTTTTCTTATAATTTCGATAAGCAGTTTGTATAATTCTTGCTTTTCCGAAATCAGTTTTTGGTTTATCACATTCTTTATCCCAATGATTGATTATCAAATCACTAGGTATGAGGTGATTAACATATCTTTGTCTGATAAAATGAAATAATTTTTTGGGCTATACATCATCGATTTTTATAAGTTTCTAGCAACCAAAACAAATAGCCATATGAGTTTTGTGGATTCTTGGTCTATAATAATTGAAATTATTAAATTTACCTTTACCAAATGATATGAATAAACATAGACAGTGATATACACTAAATTTTCTAGTATTTAATAAATTCTGTAAAGGTACTCTGACCTGTATTGCCTATTGAACTGGTGTTTCAGTCTGTTTTACGATAGATAAAGTATCAAATGATCTCTCATTATCAAAGAGTTCGTCATATCGTTTTCCATCAAAAGCAAAATAATTTTCAATATATGACACGACATACGTCATATCAAAACCTGGACGAATGTTAAAGGGTTTGGGTAATGTTCGATCTTTTTTATCAAGAATGATAGAGATATCAAAACCTGACATAGTTAGTGATTATAATAATTTAACAATTTATAGCAAATTATAATGATTTATAGCAGATTATATACTATATGATTTTACAGACCTATAATTAGATAATATGTGATTCATTTTTATGTCAAATATTGTAATAGTTGAATATAAATCAAATATACAAAGGGTATCAGAAAAAAAGTTATAGCTATATAGTGAGGTGGATACATCATGTGGCGTGACTAGCCTTGTGATTCTTTGAATGTTGTTGGCTTTATGATAAGCATAGATGGATGATTAAGGGTCGATTTGCATAAGCAGAATCCCCCAAGTGTTGCTGTTTGAGCTAGTATTATGACAATTTTATCCTAATGAATATTGTTATATTAGTATAGTACAGACAATAACAAGTCACACAAAATTAGATATAAAATTTTGTGACACTCTCCTGCGATAAGAAAAGGCAAAGAATATAAATTTATGAGTAAATTTGATTAGATGATTTGATTAGATGATTTGAACACTTTTAAGATTAAGCATGGTTCAGAATCAGTTTCGAGAATAAACAAATTTTTAGTGTGATATTTGATTTACCGCTATAATCAACACATTATACTGTATATGGCTAAGGTTAATTTGGTACTATCGTGATGATATTCCTGATCATAACTCGCTCATCGATATATTAGTCTTAATGGGCTGTTCCTGATATTGGCACTATGATAATTACATATATTAGATGAAAAAAAAATCAGATTTCCGGATTCGGATATTCGAGAAACAAATATATACGTTATTTTAACATAACCACGTATAAATTTGAAAGGTAAATTAACGTTAAGCAATAAATAAAGTTCATATTGCGTATGTAATACAAAATTGGGTACATTAAGGTTTTGTGATACTTTCCTGCAGAATTATTTCTCACAGTCAATTTTTTATTAATGCTAGCCACAACTAGAACCATTTCCTTGTTATATACAATCTAGTAATAAGAATAAGCTCAAATAGGATCTAGAAGGGCCATAAGAGGAAAACTTATAACATTCTTAATCAGTAGTTTTATCAAAATTCATATGTCACAAGAACTTGAAATTCCCAGATCGCCTAGATCGTTGACTTTTTCACTTGGTAGTAGCAAGCGTCGAATCTAAGGGGTCTATATCCCTAAAAGGATGCTAAAATATATTTAGTATTTGGGCTTTACAACCGAAACGGAATTGCTTTGTTAAGTGTGATCTGACAGTATTAGAGTAATGCAAATTACTAATCATGTAACTAGCAAGTTTTTTAGATCTAGCGAATGGTTGGTATAAAAATAAGTGATTTTACTGCTTCTTGTAGGTGGGTTATTTTGCTCATATATAATTTTTTTACCCGATCATAATTTATTTTTAAAGTAATGTCATTTTGTTTAACGGCGACTATGAAAATGAATTTTACTTACTATATTTTTTATTTAGAACTGTGAAATGAGCACTAAAGATACCACCGCCCCAAGACTAACAATGCTACCATCCCCAAGACTAACAATACTACCACCCCCAAAACCAACTATAGCACCACCGCCATAACCAATACTACCACCACCCCCAAGACTAATAATAGTAACATCCCCAATACCGTCTATCCTGTCACCTCAACACCACCTAACCCAAGACCTAGCCAAAGAATATTTAATTTCAATCGTCAATGCAAAAATAGAAGAAACAGATATGGTAAGTAAAATTTTACCTTCTCACATCTATTTTAAGTCAAAGAAAATAAAATATGGTTTAATTCTGTGTATTAATTAGATGATCCAGACTATAATCCTGACGAGGAGCATGATTTGGACAATTATATGTGGTATAGAGATGCGCTAGTGGTGATTGTAGCGATCAAGAGAGATATAATAGAGGTGAAATTGAATAGTATAAAAAAATAAATATAATTTTTTTTTGTTTGTATATTGTTGCTCGGAAACAATTATTATTAATAAAGAAGGGGTCCTATGCCCTCTGATCTTCTATTTTATTCTGTAATATATTTATATCAAATACGAATTTATTTAAATATTTTGGGCTTAGTGGTAAAATCGAAAATTCCAATTTATTTTTAGCTTATGTCAAAGTATAAATCGAGGATTGTCCATCTCACAAATAAATTATACACAAGCCAGGGTTTATGTTATATGCCATGTATCAATTTTATTTTTATCTAATGCTAAGAATTAATACGTTATTGATACGTATTATTTTTTGTATATAAATTCTTATCGCATTCACACCGCTTATATATCCATTCGCTACTTTTTTACAGGTCTTACAATATAGGTGTAAATGATGATTATATTCGTCACAAACCTTACACCTGTGCTTTCAACCTTTAAAGATATGCCACTTTTCGATATAATTTTGTTTGTTTTTATTTATAAGTATACTATATCCTTTCATTGTTATATATTGACAGAAAAAAAAATACATGGCTATTTTTTTTTATCATGTGTCTTTCGACACTGGTTCTGCTATACAAACCAATATGTGACACCATATACTTGTGTCCGTCTTACAAATTGCACAAATTATATGTCTACGATATTCATATATTTCACAAGTGATTTTGTAGCAATCACTCAAATAAATTATGTTTAAACCTCATAAGAAAATATGAAATTTGATCTTTTAACAAGTATACATGAAAATATATAATTACTGAAATAATCAATGCCTACTATTAAAACAAATTTTTTATTAATTTTGGTGGCTTAATGTATTTTAGCTATTCTGATTTTACTGACCAATCGGTCAACCAAAGTCATGTGATTGTAGCACAGTAAAGACAATCTTATTCAAACTCCTTTTCTATAGCATCAATTTCATCCCAACTTAATTTAGAAATTCTCAATGCTGAGTAAGATTTCACCTGTTGAATTTTATCCTCACCTATGCTACTAAAAGGTTATAAATTTTCCTTGCTCTTTCTATTCTTTTCTCAATTGCATTTTTCGAGAGGTTAGATGGGAGCTGTTTTTCAACTTCTTTATAAAGTTTCTCTAAGATCTACGCTCTTTATTAGTTTTCATATATTCGGCTAACCTTTCCTTAAGCTTTTTTCCAAAAGCAAAATAGCTCCTAATAACTTCCTGATTTGTGGTCTCTACTTGTTCTTCAGCCTTAATAAGCACATTGTACAGGTCAATAAAATTACCCGAGCTTGTAACTGTTAGCAAAGAGGTGGTACTCGAATAGCTTAGTGATGATAACTCCTTGATAAGTTTTTTTAACATGGATGAATCTTTATTTTTTTACCTTCACTTTCTTGCTAGATGATTTGCTGATAGATTCACTAACATGCTTTTTAGACGGACTTGGGAAGAGGAGGTCAGTAAATAATGACAGAGATATATCCATCAAATCGTTAATATTCTGACTTCCAGGCATGCTGTCAACTGTAGATTCTATCTCCTTCTTGCAATCAGGCTTTGAGCATATTGAACAATTCTTGATAGAAGTTTCGATACAATCATTATAATATATATGGCCACAGACCAGTATGGTAATCAGGTTTTTTATTTCAAACAAAAAAAGTTCTTGAATGTATAATAAGCACGGGTCTAGTTTGGGTATATTAATATCATTTGCAATTTTTCTGAGATGAATTTTTAAGAACATTTAATGCAAGTGTTTCGAGACATGAAATATTTTGAGGTGTAGAGTTAGTAGCCATATTTAAATTTTTTATGATCAAAGGGTTAGTATACGTATTAAGGGTTATAGACAGATAAGTATTTGCAATTAATCATACACTTAGTTCATTTTTATAATAAATACTTTCACAACTAAAAAATTTAATTTGCAGATTTCATAAACTAATTTCGGGTTTGACGATCTGTTCATTCACAAATTATTAGTATGGGCCAGGATCGCTCAATCTTCGCTAGCAATCATGGATAAATAATTTAGCTTAAAGGTAAACCCAAAGGGTCATTACTCTGCAATAAGTACAGTTAGTGAGTTGGTTAGTACCAAAATACTTCTATGCTGATCTCCAATTTATGGATTTAAAACACATGACATCGCTCTACTGAGGCTTATTATAATATTATGTGATTTCAAAGTTACGATGTGGTTATAATTATTTTCAGATTGAATTTGCTGTATTCACTTAATTTATATATTTTTTCGCATTAAT